TATAACTCAATTCAACTGTTTATTTATGTATGGATGTGCTTACATTTATGGAGATAATATCTATAAACTAAATTTATCTTACAGGGAAATCTGCAGGTCTACATGAGCTATGAATAATGTAAACTACCGATCAAAATTCCCCTCTTTTGTGTGTAAATAGAGAGGAGACGAAAAAAAATGAAAATTTCTCTCAGATTTTTTGGTCCCTTCCTATATGTTAAACCTTAAACATTAAGTCTGATAAAGTCCGGTACTCTTTGCAACATTAGTGTTCTCACAAGCCAGAGGACTTGACTTCTGTTTCACAGCAGAAGTAATCATGTGGACACCAATAAGGTAAGAGAGCAGCAAGACTAAGCAGCCTTTTTTATTCTTCCTTTTCTGCACACAGTATATAGATCCACCTTAGGTAACTATAGATGTCTAGAGCCGAGCCAGACTATGGAAAGTAACAGACACTTTTGGAAGTCATTTTACCTTTATGTCTACTTTAGGAAGAAAAAAACTCCATTAACAAGATTTTCACTGACTTTAAAGGGAGCCTATCTCTAGCATAAAAGTCTATTTGATTAAGTTTCCTACACACAGGCACCTAATCTGGAGAACAACTGCCTCCCCTGAAAGGTGGATGCTTCCTGCATGTCCTGTATCCCGGCACCGTAACAGTGTCTCAGATAACCCAAGAGATCTTAACCAGTGCTTGACACTGTGTTTGGGTGACTGAAACAGGCCCCAGCATTTACCTCAGTGAACTGAAGTCAGTGTTTCCGTGGAGTGAATCTGCACTCGTTTTCCCCCTGCTAGGATGCTGCCTCTTAACTTTCACACCATCAGCAGAATATTGCTGGCTAATGAGGTGCAAAGTGTTTGGAATAAGAGCGTTATCCAGTGAACCGCTGCTGGCTGCACTTGAAAATGACTTGGAGCATAATGTGTTGCATCAGTAACAACAAATTTGAAGCCTGAATACTGAAACACAAATGAGATTGAAACGTCTCAACAAAATTAATTTTTAAAAAGGGTATATAAAATTTTTTCTAGAAAAATCTACTTTTCAGTATAATGTTATCAAAAGTTAAATATTTCGTCTGAATGAAAATTTGTTAACTTTGTGATATTTTTAATGCTAAAAATATCTAGTGTGTGGAAAATTTCAGCCGATGCTAGTCTTTACCGCTCGTCAATTTGATTTAATTTTATTTTATTTTTCCACTAGTATATTTTGCCAACAGGAGGTTCAGGAAGCCTAGAAAAATCATGTAAACAACAGATGATTGTCCCAAAATGTTATACTGACTGCTCTGCCCTGCAATCCAGGTGTTGCCAGTACAATTAATGGGAGAGCTATATTTCGCAGAACAACCAGCACCTACAGTCAACATACTGTAAAAATAATTTAGGTTAGATTGAATTAAGCAAAGCAATCTATTATGGTCTATAAAAAACAAAATTGTTTGTTACTATTTGAAGATTAAAACATGTAATTTAATAGCAAAGTTAGGCCGGATAATAGAAAATTCAGCGCTAGCCTTCCATGTGAAGTAAGTTGAAAAGATCGTTTCCTCACAGGAATATCTTTCAGGTTTATAGAGTCACACAATACATAAAGGTATTATGTTCTTAATTTGTACTTGATGAAGAGGGCTGGTGAAGAGATTAAGCAGGGGTCTCCACACCCTCTGTTGGCTGTAAAAGAGTCTGATTTTTCTGCTGGAGTGCAAATAGGATGTCTGTTTTGGGAACAGATCCATGATGGGGCTCCAAGAAGAAATCTTCAGACTGCAAATTCATATAATGCACAGCAGAAATTCACATTTTTTCTTACTCCTTCTGCCACACAGCAGTGAATATTCCAGCTTGATTTTATCCTTTTTGAACGTCATCCTATATTTTTTGCCAGCAACAGAAAATCTGTTTTCCTCCATGTTAGTAAAGGCTTCATAATCCAGCTCTAATCATCTGTGTTCTGCAATCCCCAAGAAAACCTCTTTTCTTGAAAGTATGGCCAAGTCTGTTTAATCTTGAGTGATGCCAGGATCACAATAAAAGTTCTTGCACACACAGAAAGCCCTAAATGAATGTTTGGTTTACTCTGTTGCATTAACTTTTCCATATGTGAGAATTCTCGGAGTAGTGAAATAATGGAATTGTTCTGGGAAGTCAATCTATAATAGTACCAAGACCAAAGATTCAGATCACAGTTTTAAATATCTCTTTCTTCCTTATCTGTAGGACAGTTTCATGAATTTATAAGTAAAGCATGTATTGTATGTTTACTTTCTATGACTGAGGCACTTATAAATGGAGATCTAGTTTAAAAAAATTGAATGTAGTGATGTTAGTGGTCATTGTGTTTTTAATATGAATTTTCATTTTCTCAAGTATTCTCCCTGTGACTAAGTTACATACATGGTACGTATACAGTTTTACTGAGGGTGAAGATTTAGGAATGTGAAAGACATTACCATGAGGTTAACAAGAATGTCAACTTACATCAGATGTTCTGCGATAATTGCCAGGATACATATTCATGCTCCAGCATATTGTAAAGTAGCTTTCTTCTTCACTGAGGAATAAGATATCTTCCTTTTATCATGGAGCCAAACTATGCACACAAGAACTCATCCAAAATACCCAATATACAGTGGGCTCAGACCTTAGTTTAGCTCCTTGTTTGTATGCGTGAAGTTCTATTGCAGAATAAATTAAATAAAACCCTCACAAAACTAAGTAAAAATGCTCACACATGACCCTAATTATGTGACTCCCCCTTGGAGTTAAATTAGTACAAGTTTCTCATGTAGATTACAAGAGTCTGTTAATGTGTGTGTGCCTGTCTATTTATCTGCAGCTTGTAGGCGTATGACTGTGTGCGAGTACTGCATGTTTATTTGTTTATAGATGAGTACACATTTTATACTCCTATACATTTCAGAGATGCTTTATTTAAGATTATGCTATCAATATTTCCATTTAAACCTGCTTTTTTTAGGAATTTATGAATCAGTGATAAATAGTTTTACTAGGCTGAAACTTAGGTGTGGCATCAGCCTAGGAAAAACACTTTTTACCAAGTGCATAAAAAACAAATGCAATGAATTCATTCATCTTTTTTAACAATCTGAAAATACAGAATAGACATTTCATTAATTTCAGAATTTTGTTGGCAGTGTTCTCCTATAAATCAAAAGTGTTTCTTTTTTAGAAAAATTAATTTTGGCTCAACCATTTTAAATATCTACCAATGACTTGCTTAATTTCATCATCTTATACTAATGAAGCTCCAGACAGCTGGAAAATATTGTAGATGAAGTCTTACTTAAAATACAAAATGAGCTTGCAGACAGGTAATTTAGTCTAGAAAACTGAGTCAGGGATAGAAAGCCCAAAGCCTAAGTCCTATTCTTTCTGTGCCTGGTCACCTATCATGATACTACAGAGAAGTCATAAAGGCCTTCAAAAGATACTTAGACTACTTGAGTGAGATCAGTGGGTATCTGTGCACCTATATTTCCAAGAATCTGCCTAGGAGTGCTTAATTTTTTTTTGCAACACACACCTTTCTTACCTAGGTAAGTCTCAGATAAGTATTGTGTCCTCCTACACAATACTATATACAGTGTTTTATGTAATGGTTTCTGATGTAATTTGGGCTAACACACTAGTGCATGATGAAATATTAAGAGGTAGAAAGATAGGTGCCAGCAGACCTGAAATAATTCTGCCTGAGTTATAAGCTGGTGGAATACAAGCCAGCTCTAGTTCAGAAACCATACCGAAGAACACTTAACTTTCTGAGAGACACATCACCTTAATTTGGCTACAGGACCAAGAAACTTAGGTTTGAGACCTCTGGTTCAAAGCTAATCACATTCAGCCAACACTGAGTATGAGCAAAGTAAGTCCATGTAGGCATATATGTCAATGATGCTTTTAAATATGACCATGTTACTGAGTCTGGCAAAGACATTGTTACCTGATCAACTAGAACACCAAGATACCAGAGGTGGAAAGATGTTACTGCAGAGACCCATAATAGATTTTTTTTTTAATGTAGTTAAAATAATGGGAAGCAAGGGAGATGAAAAGCAAAGCCTGTAAAAATAAAAGTATTAAATGCACTAAAACAGTCAGGCAGAAAAAAAAATAACACAGAGTGAGGTAAGGTAGGAAACAAATGGACTTGAGGATAGAAATAGAAGATTAAGATCTCATCACATGCATAGTCTCATCTGACTATGCAATAAGGGAGGAATAGCAGGGAAAAAGAAATGAGACAAGCTAGTATCATCCAAGAGAGATTTTCTGTCTCTCTGAATCTTTCTCCAGTCATATAGATTCAGTCCCGATTGTACACGGCCATAAAGTGGCTTCATGACAGTAGAAGACTTGTTGAATTCAACGATCTACTCAGATTCATAAAGGAATGTGCATGTTTAACAGGTTTGGGGAATCACAAGCAAGTTGCCTGGATGTCATGTAATTCATGCTTCATCTTATCAAAACATACAAGACCAGAGTGGTCAAGACACTTGTGTCTGTGAATGTATTTACCCGACAAGTTAAATCCTGGCCGTACTGTGGTCAAAATGGCAATATTCCTATCAATCTCAGTGGGTCTAGCCTTCACCCAGAATGTGTATATTGACCTTTAAGTGATTTAAATCCCCACATAATTTTACATGAAGAAGAACATAAGCTGCACAGCCATATTGCCAACTCTTTGGGTACAATTCATCCATTATAACTTATGTAAAATTCTACAGCTCTTAAAATCATTCTTTAAAAAAATACTTGTATTCTGAGAGCTAATTATTCATGTGAGATGTTGGAACTGTTGTTCACAATGGCAGCGCCTGTGGCGACAGTTTTTCATATTTATAAAGAGCACAGAAAGATAAACACAGTAAAGTCTTCACGGATCTTCTGTGCAGGTATATGCCTGGGGATGGAAGAGAAGATAAAGAGAGAAGTGAAGTGCTATTTGGTCTTTACCATACCTGAGAGTAGCTGTCAGTCCTTGGAAGAACAGATATATCATAGGTGGCAGCAAAATGGCTCTTAGCTTGCTGGATCTGACCATAACGTTCTCTTTTCCTCCATTTTGCTCTTCTATTCTGGAACCAAACCTACAGCAAACGAGGAAATAACCATGAAGGTAAGTTCACTCACTTACTGTCTAAAGAGTCTTACCAAAAAGCCAAGAGACTTTGGCCAGTAGTTTTCAAAAAGTCTGTGTATCTAGGAAAGAGAAGTCCTCTGCCTGAAAATAAACAACTTGCAGTCCCTGTTAAACATAAATCTTCTGAATATCAGATCTGCTTAAGCTACTTCTGGCTATTTTAAAGTATATATTATTTCCTTTCCACTGTTCCAAAAATAAGCTGAGGATGCTGGCCCAAGCTGCTTAGAGCTGTCAGGAAGTGCCAATTTTGAGAGAGTTGAACTTTTTAGAGGAACATCTCCAAGCAGCAGCAGGTCACACTGTAAAAAAAAAAACTTTCTCCTAAGTTTGCATGCTCACTGACTTGATGTGACAGCCCTCACACTGGCTTTTAGAGAAATACATAATCTTTATTAAACACTGTAACAAAAAGGCAAGAAAAGCTAGCTGCCAGGACTATAGTCTATGTTAAAAAAAAGGCTTCAGTGAGGCAGGGCCACAGATAACAATGAAGGAAAATAATAAATAATAATGAGATTGCAGACAATTTAAAACTACTGTGACATTTTTCATCTTTTTTGTTAGGAAACAAGTTTCTGCCAGTGGAAGACTAAAAATGGTATTTTGCACCTACTTTCTGAAACAATTTAGATTTAGATCTGAAACAATGTCGTGCTGGTCAACTAAAAGTTTCCTATATGCTAAAATAGCCTTTGGATTCATCCAGTAGTTTGAGCACCATGTGTTATCTCAAAGCACATTTCTTGCTGCCACTGGTATCTAACTAGGTTCTGTGGGCATCAAAAATATTCTCCTCTTTCCATTAATTTAGCTTGGAGGAGCCCAGGCTAAAAACTAGCTGAAGAGAATTACTCTGATGAATTAAAGGGATTGCTAGGAAAAGTAACTGTTTCCTTATAAAAGTAATATTATCCAATTAAGTCCTTATTATTCCGCTATAAACAAATTTATTCCAACTCTTTCAAAATAAATCATACCACTAATAACACTGCTTTTTTTATTTGAGCAATAGGGTTGGTTAATATTCTTGCTAAATGGATCGTGAACAGATTTAGATTGACACGGTGTACGAATAGATCTATTTTTGATTGACACTGCTCATGAATCACATTTTGAGGGATATTTTGTGATACCTGATAGTGAAATATTTAAAATAAAACTGCCTGTTGGACAATGCAATTTTTGGTCTGATCTCTGGAGAACTTAAGAAAAAGGGATGTAATTTTGCTTATTGCGATTCCCAATAACTCGTTACAAATTTAGTACATTTTAAAATGTACTCAGCAGTCAAAGCAAGGCCAATGCAACTGCTAAGTATGTATTGTTAGGGACCTTGTTGTTAAATTTGTATTATTTATTATGCCTGAGGCTCAGTGAAAAGAAAGAAAAAATTATCCTGTCTCCCCAGGAGGCACCAAGAACACACTAAGGGAATTTAGTAATGAGGCTCTTTCATTGAAAAAAGACCTCGACAATCTCCTTAAAATGGGTGCCAATTACTACACTGACATGCAGCAGGAAAGAGAACAACTTCGATAAATTAGGTTCAGGTTGGCTCTCTCTGCATGTATGCAGGACAAAAATTAAATTGGATCTTGATGAAATGGCGGTGAAGGGAAATGTGGGTAAGGTATCCAGCTGGTCACTCTGCTAAACTAAATCAAATAATTTGCTTGAATTTATGTAACTAAAGGAGAAAAAAAAAAAGCATACTTATTTTTTCCTTTGACAATCCCGCAAAATGTTTCTATTTACATCGCTTTACTAGAAACTGACTTTTGGCAGAGATAAAGTAACCATTTGCCTCCACAAAGCTATGTAAAAATCTGCTGCTTGTTATCCTTGAATTGCCAGATGCTTGCCTCTAATGATGTAAGGCCTTTTAAATTGCTTAATCTTGTGATGGAATACTGTTGCTACTCTGGATTAAAATGATCACCATTTCCTTTCATATTTGGCTTATCAGAAATGCAAAGATCAGTTGTTTTTTAAGCAAAGGATACATGTGTATAAATAAAATAAAAATTGATGTATTCTGTGAAAGTCCAGTGCAGACACACAGAAGTTTTCACATTTTTCTCTCTTAATTTTAATATTGTTACTGTACAAAGTTTCTGTAACTCAGAAGAAAGTCAATTGGTTGATTTTAACAGCTTTGTCATGTCTATTAATCTATTCTGGGAGTAGTTTGATGATTCCAGATCTATGCAACTGGAAGAACAGTGGTTGAACATTAAACAAGCATTTTTTTTTAAATCAGAATAATTCCTCATGAATGGAAGTCATATTTAGAAAGATCTCCCAAATTCTGAAGGAAAGGGATTCCACAGAGCCTGAAGAGTTAAAAGCCACTGAATGAAATTCCATTGACACCACTTATATTGTATCAATGTCAGTGATGGAAGAATTTGGACTCTGCTTTCAGATGACAGCAGTGAATATGCCAGCTGGTTGAATAGACATGAAAAGAACATTTATTTATAAAATTAATTAGCTGAGTTGGTTTCTGAAAGTGATCTTGGTTTAATTTTAGTTGTATGCATGTGCACTGATGTCTATTTCTTTATATACATGTGTGAGTACGTGCTTAATTACAAGTTGTGAAGTTGTTATCATATTCTAGTCACTAAATAAAAAAAATTAATCCCAGTCTGTAAGTAACTACAGGACTGCTATTCCCTAAGCTGAAATGAGGAGTATTACTGGAACGGGGAAGATCTCTAAAAATAGGACAAACTTGCAAAATGCAGCTCACACCCTTTTCTGCGGGAAGATCTCTTAAGGGGGAAAAGGCTATCTGTCCTGTGTATTTAGCTTCTTTTCTCACCATTACACATTCAAAACCATAAATATTGTCGAGGTTACTGTACATGCACATACTGAATAAATCAACTTTATATGTAGTTAAGATACTCAAATACAGCACTAAGTGGTCAACAGTATGTTTCACTCTTAAAATTAGAATAACATAAATTGGTTATGGAAGTTTAAAAACATGCAAATGTACTTCCCAGTTTTGCAAGCATTAAGCTCATTTCATTGTACAGAGCTGAAAAGATTGAGTTCCCACCATACACAGATACGCACACACGCACGCACACACTCATGCACGCACACACGCATATATGTATGTATACACACATGCATATATACGCACACACAGATGCACATATATATGCAGTTTCACTGCCTACTGTTTGGTTAGAAATGAGGAATTTGATTATTTTTTAGGTTCATATTTCTCATTTCATAACACACACAGAATCCTCTGGTTGAGTTCTGCATCATCACTAGTCTGAACTACTACATCTCCCTTTAATAGAGTCTTTACACATTAACGCTCTACGTATTCACTGCCTGGAATTCTGACTATAAAACAGGACTACCAGAGATCAAGACTACTTCTGTATATGTCATTTTCTTGTCCTTTAAACAAGTTTCTAGAGCAGTAACACGAGTTATTTTATAAACAACCAGTTATTTTATCACTGTAGCGTAACACCTAATATCTATAAAGAAATAAAACAAAACAAGCTATTTACTATAGCTTTGTGGGCTTTCATACAATCCCCGAGAGCGTCCTTGATCAATTCCCACAATGCATAACCTGCCACGGAAACGCTGAGGTTTGGTTCCTACCTGGACTCTGGCCTCAGTGAGCTCTGTTCTCAGAGCTAGCTGTTCTCTTACATAGACATCGGGGTAATGAGTTTTCTGGAAAACTTTCTCCAGTTCCTCCAGCTGCAAACTGGTGAAAGTTGTTCTGTGCCTCCTCTTCTTACTGCTGGAGACGTTGCTGTCACACTTATCACCGAGTTCATCCAGGTCGCCCTTCTCCTGCATCCCTTTCACTGGAGACATCCTGAGATTGTTGCAATTGTCCATGGGCCTGTTCAGCTCTGTGTGAAGAGGCTGTCCTTCCACTTTAGTAATTCCATAGTTCACTGTACACGGGGTGGGGGAGGGAAACGACTGGTTAAACGGGGGTTTCAGACCCAAGGGTTCATATAAAACAGTTTCATAAGGATTCGGGTCCTATGCAATTACTTATTTCTACATGAGATTATGGAAAAGGAATCGATAATATTAAACACAAACAGGATAAAAGTATTAAGCCACCTAGAATTTTAACTGAGAACTGTTTTCAACAGTATCATCTAAATTTTTGTGGGGTAAGGAGACTACATGAGAATTCTAGAATATTTTTATTCTGCATCTAAAACAGATAATCATCTATGAAATCAGCTCCAACTGGAGTTGCCCAGATAAGGAATCTTAGCCCAAAACAGATTTTTATATAAATTAAGTAGCATAAAGCTATTGGCAAATGCTCCTTAAACTCGGAAGTAGATAAACGAAACCCTCTCAATTTATATGAAAACAACTATAAAATAAATTAAAAAGGTGTAAACTGACAAATCAAGAAGCAAATGAAACTGAAGATTAACCTCACTTTACAAACTCAATAGGATCCTCATACTTCCTCTCGGATTTGTAAAGTGGAATTGTTTCCAATTAAGTTTGTTATGGTTACAAAATACAGAGAGTTTCTGCAAAATGTTAACTAGATTGTTTCATATACTTTGTATCAGGCTGCAGGAACTGTTTGTCTTTAGGTAAAACCTGAGTGGTAGAGATAAGAAATATTCTTCCGTAGCTTCTTAATAAGAAATGAAAATAGTTTATATTTTTCTATTTTTACATATCTCACATCACTTAAAAAACATGCAATATGTTACGAGATTCGAAATGACTTTTTTTTTTCAGAGACAGGCAAAAAAGTTAAAATCACTATTGTAATAAAAACCTATAAAGTTGACATGCAACTTACGATAAGAAGCTTGATTGGGATTTTTTTTTTTAAATTCTCAGTAATTTCTTTTCTTTCAGTCCGAGGTGATTTTAACTAAACACTCCGAGGTGATTTTAACTAAACACAATTTTAAATACTTACCATCAATATATAGATCGGAAATGCCCCAAAGCCCCCAAGGCACACATTAAACGAGCTAATTAAGAAAAACTTCAATCTATAAATCAATTTTCTGCAGTTTTTCTAAGCTGCGTTTGCAGAAGTCTGTCATTATTTCCTGTGAACTATTTCATGCAAAAAGGGTGTTCTCAGAAAATACTTCAAGACCTACATAAAGTCAAAAAATGTAAGATATCGTTAGTCTCATTATTGCAATTGATTTTAACAGTATTTTCTGACCCTCTGCTAGACAAGATATTTTACATTAAGTTTCATAAGCATTGAATTATTATATTTTTTAAGTAATGGGTAAAATTATAAGCTGTGCACAAAATAGAATGATCGGCGTTGTCGTTTGCCAAGCAGCTGCGGGGGGGGAGGAAAGAGAATATTTTACAAAGCGATTTGAATTAATTGCATTTTTTTAACCTACATTATGAACCGGGAGGTCTGCGCGCTGCCTATTATTTAGTAACACGGCAGTAAAGCTTTGTCGCTGCAGACATTGCTATTTCAATGCATAAAACACGACCGAAAACACGACCTCCCGTTTCCATCTTCTAACGGGACCGAGCAGACTGACAAGCGCTACGTGCACAGCTCGCCGCAGCCCGCGGCTGCGTTTCTCTGAAAATTTGTGAGGATGGAGGAAAAAATAATAATAATAATAAAAAAGACGGCAGTAAAGCTTTGTCGCTGCAGACATTGCTATTTCAATGCATAAAACACGACCGAAAACACGACCTCCCGTTTCCATCTTCTAACGGGACCGAGCAGACTGACAAGCGCTACGTGCACAGCTCGCCGCAGCCCGCGGCTGCGTTTCTCTGAAAATTTGTGAGGATGGAGGAAAAAATAATAATAATAATAAAAAAGAAAAAGAAATCGCCGG